TTGCAACGTGTAATCTTGACACGTTAACCATTACGCCACACTGCCGTGAATGCCCTTATGTAACAGGGCAGATGTGCATTTCAAAAGGGGCCAGGCATTTTTCCATATCAAATTCTGTAGTGGAAGTCTCGATGTAGTAAGGTTATACTTGCTCTAGCAATAGACTACATAACTTATATATATACTTCATAAGTGGGTTTCTAGATTACCAACGGATCATATACATAAGATGTATTAACCCTACTTCGTGTAAGCCTTAGCAAGGCTATGAGAAATCCAATGGAAACGTAAGGTTTGCTCATATCATTGGGGGAAAATTAAACTTTCAGTTTCCTTATCATCTCATTATACATCATATAGATAATTATAGAAGGTCTTTGGCTAAACTTAATTTAGAGAGGCCGTCGAAAGCAATCTACTAGGCAATATATCAAATGCAAAGCATACCTCCTTAGTAAGGTAAAAACGATTTATGCTTAGTTAATATACTCAAGGATACAACATTTTGATGCATCTGTAAAGAGAAGGCGATACAACTAGTATTCCTTGTGCTGTTTCTAATCAGTATCACTTTTCTGTACTTTTTATTCCAATCTTTCTCTCTCAATTGTAGACAAGAAGTCCATCAGCATCAGCAGACATAAAGACATATAAACACACACAAACAGACACAGCCAAATGCTTTGAGGTTGATATATGACTGGAACTAGCCAAATCACGTTATATTTTATTAACTATCTTAGTTATAGGGTATATGTGTAACATTTGGGGATGAGCCGGTGCGTTTTCTTAAGTAGTTTGTTTTAATATTGCTGTGATGACGATAACCTGCTCTGCTGTCCGGCATGCGACGGTCGAAAACTTAGCACGTTTTGACCAGAATTGAAGACAATTGTTTCGGAAACCTTGTCAACACAATTGCTCCAGTAAAGCGAATTGACAGCTGGTCAAGAAAAATGCGCCGTCTTCTTCTGGTGGAACCGACCTATGAATCTCTTCACCAAACACTTTCACTCGAAATAAAAGTAAGCTCAGCAGTAAAATTGGTTTGGCCTAGTTTTCGCAACTTGTTCATGCTGTCTGGAAGATGTAGATTAACTATGCTTGTCCGGAGTTCTCTATCATAAAAGTCATACTTATATGCACCGTTTTTTTGACTTGATACCCTACGAGACACTTTGCGGGAATCGAAGTCGACATCGTCATTGATCCTTGCTAGTCATAGCTACAATTTGTTTATGAGAAAAGTGATGTGAATCGCTTGAATAATTTCCTGATTAAAAGTTGTACCTCTCGTTCTGCACATGTACATTCACCTATACCACGTTATCAAATCTCCTAATTCGATATTCCAACTTCCACATTGTTTAATTTTATCTTCTCCAAAGATGTGACTGGTGTATTTAGTGAGGCTTAATCACAAACCTCGCTGGTTCCATCTTTTCCAACCTCACTGTGTAATACGTGTTAAACTAAATGGCCTTTTTATCCTGTATTCTACTTCATTTAACTCCGATTAGGATATCTATTGTTACTCGGATGATCATTGCTTTCATTCGGCATATGACACCGTATTCGTGTTACTCTAGGATTTGCAGATCTTTTTACCTCCTGATCTTTTATGAGTCTGCCTGAAGCAATACACGTTTGCGCTAATTCTGACTTTTATCGGTCTCTTATTCATTAGATTTCTTTCAGTCGGGATATCGATGGCTACTCAAATCTTGCACTTACTTGCATTTTCATCAAATATGACCAGTTCTGTGTGGCCTTCTAGTCGACATTATGTCCTGTCCATGCAATTGTTTTTGCCATTTTGGATCTTTATGTAGCCATGGTTCCACAGTCTTTAGTGTTCCTTGATTCATAGAATGATTCTTCTTTCTGACTCAACAGGAGACCTCTGCAAACAGCTGTTGCATGTTACCTGACAAACTTCTGATAAATCCAGAATCTGATAACAACTCTGTTCCTGATATTCAAATTATTCAAAACTTTCTAGATAATTCCTGATAGGCTGCCGTCTACCTTCTTCAATACCAAGGTTATGCTTGTTGCTAGCTATTAACCTTAATGGTTCTTCTCTGTGCATTTTTAATAGTCCGTCGGTTGTAAGTGATATTACGTTCTTTTTAATTATGGAACCGATCATCTACCTGCAAATTTCTCCGTTTATATGTATTTTCTTCAGTCTATCTTTTGGTATTAGGTGTATCTTCATGGATGGACTTTTTCTTAATATTTGCTAAAATAAAAAACCTCCGCAAGCTGCTATGCCAAAAAATGCATGTTTCATGAAAGGTATTCCAACATCTAGTCGGCAGTAGCTTGCAGCAAAAACCCGCATTGATCGCTTCAGTTTCTGCTCCCAGTGAGTAACATCTGCAAGACACAAACTCATTGCTATCGTTGGATCTGCAGCATCCACTACAAACCCATAAATGTGGTTAGAAAATAACTTCATAAGCAAACCTACAGTTGTAGGTTTCGTATGAACATATCTACCTAATTTAGTTGTCTATTTAGTAACTAGACAATCAGCAAAGGTAAACTAACTTAATTTTCTTATTACATTGTAAATTTAATATTTTCATCTATTCTATTCACAAACTCTATGAAATTTTTTCTGTTTTATTTCCACAGTTGTAAGGTACATATGAACACCATGACGGAATAATCTGTATTTTAGTCGCAGTCACCTTACGATGTCTGTCCACGTTTTCGAAACTTATTTGTGTTGCTAAGGGGACCTAATTAGACGTACTCCAAACGAGTCATCTTCTTTACTATGAAAGGAAGCTGGGGTCTGAAGAATTCCTCAGTAGATAAATACTGGCATACCTTCCGCACCGGATACCAAGGTGGTTTACCTTGGACCTGTAACTGTTTAATTGTACAAAAAAGACCTCGATGACTTCATGCTGAGATTTCGTCCGTCACATGGCAGACATCTTCAGAGCCAGGAGCAAATATTTACGAACAATCACAAAAGAATACCAAAGAAAGAAAGGTAACCGACTGAGATTATTCTTACTTCTTATACCTCATCTTATACTATTGATGAATCATTCCATGATCTGATTGGCTACTTTAAGCTTGTCCTACTTGCTTGTATGCAAGTGAAATTGATGCAGAAAGGGGTCAGATATAGCCAGCACTTCCCTCTATACAATTAAACTATTAAATGCTCTTGAAATGAAAGGGCGTGTTATGCATACGCAGAAATCACGAGTTAGTTGGAAATTTTGGGTCCAAAACCAGACCCCAGGTTAGTCAGGTCTTTTCTTTTTAATGTGGTTCCTCCTGTTCCCTTTCTCTATCTCTCCCTCTAATTCTATCCAGCAGCTAAATATAATTATCTATTAGTTTCCTAAACTAGTTCTTCATATTAAAGATGCTCTTTGTCCTGTGGCTTTCAATCGACTTCATGATATTCGGCTCGGCTGTGAAGTCCCAACATCCGGCAAAACGTTGGGTCTTAGACTATCTCAATCTGGATCCCTGTAATGACCAAATATTTAGCCACTTCCGATTTCTGAATCAATAAGCCCTTGTAGGCGGTTTTGTGTTCTTATATCCTCTAATGTATGGGTCGAAAAGTCTTCCCTACAGAGGCACTACTATATGAGCACAAAACACTATTGCAACCTGATTTGCAGTCCGAAGATTCTCTAAAAGAAGGTATTACAGAGGAAAGCGTTAGTTTTTTTATAAATGGAAGAGGCAACATTCCTCACCAGCCTGCCGACGCAACATGAGGTCGAGAAACTGGATTGGTCGGGAGCTGATTGCATCAAATGCGACAACTGTGAGCAGAGGTATATTTATGAGATTGGAAGAAAAATCAGCCTACAAATCAAATAACATCAAAGGCTGCATAAACATGGAAATGGAGAGATCCGAAATAGTGGAACATGAAATCGACTGTACATTGACAGAAAGGCTGGCTGCATATGGTAAAAATAAGCAAAAACGCAAAATCCAAGAGGCCATCTATATCCTGACTGAGCGAAATCTAATAAACAGGGTACCTGAAGATAGGATTAGCGAAAACTTTACATAATGCTAAGCAAACTCGGAGAAGATCGGTCAATAGCAAGGTCGGCAAAAAAAGACTAGATCAAGGATCAAGGATATATCAAATATTCAATATGAGGAAGAGAAATCGCAAGAGCACATAGATCCAATCAGAAATCAAGAGGAAACATGTACATTGAGCCTAATCAAAGCAAATATGACCACATTTGGGGGTTGACACACAGGAGACCATCGTGTAGGAAGTCACAGATTTGGCATTATGGATACAAGCACGAGAGATACGGAGGTGACCATCGATGGTTGACTATTAGTGGGTAAGTTTGGTCATATAAGAAATTATGATAGTGAAGGAGTAATCTTTGCAGGATTCTGATTCCGGAAAATTTACATAAAACAAGGAAATAACATCTATAAATCATGTTAACCCTACTCCGTTTAATATGGCGTAGTGATTAACGCGTCGAGATTACACTCCCCACTTTCATGGTTTGACTCCCGTTGAGGGTGTTGACAAGACCTAGACGAGATCGAGACTGCAGTCCACCTTAGATGAGACACACATTGGGAAAGTAAGATTATGTGAAATTCAATGCAAGCGTTAACTATCCTCATACCATTGTGGGAAAATGCAGCCACCAGTCCTTCATCGCCTTAAACGGAACAAGGTGAACACAACTCATATATATGATTTACTGATAGTCTCGAAAGCCTACTTGAAACGAAATAAAAGTAAAGCATAACCAGCATACCCATTTGATTTGACTTCCAAGGTGACAATACATTCTGATGAGTACGACGAATGGGATAGTGGTTAATCTAACCTCGGTTCATCTTGATCTCTAAACGAGTACGATCCACGGGAAGAGGCAGAACTTTTCTCTTATAAATTACAGAAATGCTCAAAAAAATTTTATGTTCCTAAGAGGACGTGGACTGTGTATAAAATATAAAACTCCTGCACTCTACAACTCCAAAGTTGGGGGCCCTGAAACGAAGAAAAGTAAAAATATTATTACCAAGTGTCCTATATAGAAACGGATGAATACAATATGACTGGCTGACAGAAATAAAATTATTGAAAGGCGGCGCAAAATAGAAAAGCATAACCTCCGCGGGTCAGAGCGGAAGGGAGAAAACGTGACCGACCTAAACAGTATATTAGAGTAGTTTTACATATCAACTTCTGATAGGACGGTGCGGTGCCAAGCTTTGAATGGTTGACGCGAAAAAAACAGTGAACATTAGCCATACGCTTACGTAAATCCTGTGCCCAAGGCTGTTGAACCATGACTACCTACGGGATGTAACAAAACTAAGTATTGAATGGGAAAAGTGTAAAGATAGGTAACTAAAAAGACATCATGGTCGGGATCATCAAGAACTCCGACAAGTTCGCTAAAGAGAAAAAACGGGTGATGGAGATGGAAATAATCCCAATGATATCGACACAGAAGCCAACAAACAGGAACATATTTGCTAGGATACGCAGAATCCCAGAAGTTAATTAACAACTAGTCCTTTAGGTATGTAGAAAAACTGGGTTTCGAAGAATTCCTTAATAGATTGATGTTGGAGTACGTTACAGTTCGTTTGAAGAGGCGATTGGAAGGTTCCATTAGAGGCTGTGGGGGAGTTGTCGTTGTAGATTTGTGCGAATAAGTCCTCGGTGCCCCACCTTGCGACCCCGATGAATCCTTGCTAAGCTTGCGTCCTTCATGTGGTGGACATCGTCAAAACAAGACACCATGTTTTACGATAATTCATCAAAAACACGAAGACAATAAAAGGTGGCCAGCTTCAAACCCTGGTTTGTACAGTCCCCATGTCCAGCTAAGCGTTTGGCATTAGACCAATCTATCTGTTGTCCTGTGCGAGGCATGTGTTCGGCCACTTACGATTTTTGGACCCACATACCCTTGCAAGCTATTTTATGTTCGGATAACCTCTTATGTATGGACATCCAGGTCTCTCCCACGTGGGCACTACCACATAAACACAAAAACTTGTAAGAGTCCGATCTGGAGAGCGGGTCAGAGTATTCTCGAAAAGACAGCGAGGACAGCGTTATTTTCCCTTTATAACTGGTCATGATGTCCCACCTCCTCAGTAATTCGCCTATATTCTTCGACAGATTACACAATGACAGCATGAGGATCAGGGTAAAGTGGTATATCTTTTCATCTAGCCACAAATATGCATTTCCATTCCTCCTATTTGACAATATTCTAAGGTAGTTGTCAACCAGCCATCCTGGATAATTGTTCTCAACCAGAATTCGCCTTAGTCTCTTTAGTTGTTGGTCCCGATATTTAACATCTGCTAGACACAGGCTCGTTATTATCATAGACTTGATAACTCCTACTTTAACGCCATAAGTGTGGTTGGAGAAGAAATTTAAAAGGAAAACCACATTTATGGGTTTTCTATACACATATCTACCTAATGTGGTCCCCTCTTTGTTAAGTAGGATCAAGAAAAGGTAAACCCCCCTCTTTTTATAACTCGATGGTGAATTTCATCTTCCCATCGATCCCGTTCGTAAAGCCACGAAAATTTTCCAGGTTTTCTTTTCCATATTGCCAAATAGCAAATTAGTCGTCCATATATCGAACTAATAATTTAGGTATTTAATTAGAATTTTGAGACTATCAGTAAATCAGTA